AATAAATATATTAATGTAATTAATTAATAACAATGTCTGCTGTTTCTTTGATTCTTAGCTCTTTCTGGGACTGACTGTTCAAATTCTGTGAACATGAGCATCCCAAGGACCTCCATGGGAATATTCTCCATAGGAAATGCTAATGACATCAAGGCATACTTGATCATTTTCCCTTCTCGATACCATTGACATATGATGGGATGATTATTACTCATCTGCCTTTTAATGTAGATTTCTGAGAGTCTTGCAGATCATTTCCTTCCTCCTTAAAGATGACTTGCATAGTGGGAAATGCTTAGCAAAAGAATGTAATAGGATAACTGTGAACTTGTATTTTCTTTGGTATGCTAGTAGACTGCTAATTAAAGTAGGAAATTACTGCCACAGAATGTTCTGAATGTCAGAGGGGTACTAAGTACAAAGATAACCCAAACTCAGGAAATTACAGGAGCTTTGTGCTTGAATTAGGACTGATACAGTGGCGTGGTCATGTTCTCTGGTTTGCGCTCCAACACTTCCCATTATTCTTCACCTTTTTGTTTGCATCTATGGTTTGTGGAGAGTGCTGGGTTGATATATCCATAGTATTTATCCACGGTGACTCCACAATTTCCTTCTGGAGTGACAGCTCATTTAGAGCCCAACACTTTATATTTTAGGCTTCTTCACTCCAACAGGAGTGTTGAATTTGAGTACGTTGTAAGTATGCTTATAGAGATACTGCAGTAGTAACACTGAACAAGGTCCTTGTGCACTGCTTAGGAATAAATCATGCTCTCTTTCTGCTTTTGTGGCTTTTCCAACCAGCTGCTCCTGCAGGCAGTCATTTTTGGTGTCTATAATTGAGTCTGTTCGTTATAGCCTGTTGTAAAATTGAGCTATGTTAGGATAACTGAGGTTTCTTAATACAGTTTTCTGTCCTTTCTAGCCTCTTGCCTTAGTGTGCCACAGCCACCAAAACCATCCTGGTGGGATGACCAGGATCATAACTCCAAAACTGTATTCGTCCTATGTAGGCAGTGAATTTCACTTCATGCAGATTTTCTGTCACCTAAATATATAATCACTTATTTGGCAACAGTGTGATTTCTGTAAGTCCTTGGCCACGATCTCCCCTTGACACTGGGCAGAACTTGTGCCCAGGGCTTATTTTGTCCCTCTAGTTTTCTTCCTTCCATCAGTTTTATATATACCCATTAAATTCCATTCAAAAGCAAACATGCTCGCTGATATATCTTATCTCTGTCTTGACTCCTCTCATTTAATGTTTTGGTGATTTTATTCTCTCCAAGCAACCCTATCATGCTCCATGGCAATTCTGTGCATTTTGCAACAACAGGAAAAATAACATTAGTCAAGATTTTTACAGCTAGAATTTAGCTTTCGAGGAAGAAAACAATGATGTAGTCGTTACGTCTTCTGTATATAGAATAACCACTTCCATTAAAAAATATAAATAGCCTTCTGAGACTCATAATGATTGTCCAGCTGTCTGTAGGAGTTTCTGTTTTCTTTATAATTTCACTATCATATTTGAGTGATAGAACTGATAAGCTAGTGTTGAGCTAAGCCTCATATTTTTCAGGCTAAACAAATTCATCAATAATTTTGCAGAGCCATTCTGGAAAGGAAATTTTACTCTGCTTCACACAGTGGAATAGAGTACTCAACTTAGTGGTACTAGATAGCTCTAGCCACATAAGTACAGAGAAAGAATGAAAAATGTTTTCTCAAGTTATAAGGAGCCAGATTCATAACCATCCGTCACTCGCCTGGGCAAGTTACTGATAAACTCCACAGAAAAATAACAAACAGCATATCCCTGTACCTTGGCTGGTGAAAATGAGATTCTTTCTCTGATTGATGTTAGCAGAGAGGCTTGTAAAAATGCATTTCCAGCTGATTAGTTCAGAAAGTGTCAATCTCATGCAGTTTTATGACCTGCAGACTATATTCCAGATGTACATTTGCTTTTTATAAACTAACAAAGATGAATGAAGAAATTTGAGCATTTCTTTGGCAACTGCACCAGATATTGCCTGGGAGACCGTACAGAGATATAAACTCCCCCAAACTATGCTTTTAACCGTCTGTACCCTCAGCTTTGTCACTGATCCAGGCTTCTAGAGCCTGGATCAGTGACCAACAAGGGAGATCAGTTAGGAAAGGTTTTCATATTGTACAAGAGTGTGACTAGAAAATCACAAAACCACAAGACTATTTGAGGTTGGAAAGCTTTCTGGAATCATCTAGTCCCACCCCCTACTTAGAGTGGGGTCAACTAGCGCATGTGGCTTGAGTTTTGATAGACACTCCAAAACTTTCCTGGACAACCCGTTACAGTGTCAGACCACTTTCACAGTAAAAAAAGTGTTTTTCTGATGTTTAGACAGAATTTCCTGTGTTTCAGTCAGTGCCCATTCTCCCTTGTCCTTTTGCTGGGTACCCTGAAAAGTGATCTTTTTTTCACGCTCCCATTACGTACAATCTGTACACGTTGATGAGATTCCCCTCCTCGAGCCTTCTTCACGCTGAACAGTCTCTGCTTTTTCAGCCGTTCCTCATAGGAGAGATGTGTCAAGCCCTTAACCATCTTCATGGCCCTTCACTGAGCTTCCTCCATTATGTCAGTGTCTCTCGTACTGGAAAGCCAAGCCTGCATACAGCACACTCCAGCTGTGGCCTCCCCGGTGCTGAGGCTGCTTTTAATTGCAGCCCAAGGTGTCCTTGGCACCTTCTTTGCTGAAAGGGCATGTTGCTTGCTCATGTTCGACTTGGTGTCTACCAGGCCTCCCAGGGTCTTCTGCACAAAGCTGCCTTGCAGCCAGTTGTCCCCCAGTATGTACTGGTGCATGGGGTAGTTCCTCCCCAGGTGCAGGACTTTGTGCTTCTCTTTGTTGAACTCCATGAGGTTCGTGTCAGCCCATTTCTTCAGTCTGTCGAGGTCTGTCTGAATGGCAAGACAGCCCTCTGGCATATCCTCATTCCAGGAAAAATCAATGTTCTTTTTCTCTTAAAAAAAGTTCAAACTTTTATCTATTTAATGGTGACTTTTTCATCCCTTTTATTCTCCCTGAACTGACTTCAGTGTCAGCTGAGTTAAATAAGAATTTTCAATGCACAAAATAATAGAAATCCCAGTCCTTTACTATTTTGCCAATCCTCTAACTGATCCACATAGCTCAGCAATACTTAGAGGAGTACCTTTAGAAGATCTCTGTTTACTTACACTCTT